AGAGAAACCAGTAGATCAATGGGCATGAATATAAACATAATGAAAATCTAATAGAATAGAAGACCAAATTCATGGTAATAATAAGGAACCTGAGCGCATTCGAAGATGCCTAACTAACAAGCAATACATACACATAACATACACGAATAGAAAGAGTAGACAAATCCAAATAGCTGAGGACGTGGCTCGGATTACGAAATTAAAAGTCATATAGAACTAGCTGTGCAAGCATTTCAAAAATTTAGAAGCGTATTCAGCTGCTCAGACTTCAACCTAAACTGGACATTGAGGTTGGCAACATGTTACGAATGGTCGGCGTTTCTGTATGGAGTGCATGGGTGGACCTTCAAAACAAGTGCAATGAAAAGTATACTCTCTTGGACTCTCTTGGACTGCAAGTTTAATAAATAAAGAAGTATTCACTCGAGTAAACAATGAACGCAAATTATTTACCACGCTCCAGTCAATTTCTGGATGTTCATTCCCTTTGCGGACTTAACGAACTAAATTATTATAAAAATTCTTCTTTAAACACACTTGATCTTGTTATTACTAATTCTACTGATGTATATCAAATCTCTCTTTGTAGTTATCCATTGCTTCCAGAGGACAGGCGCACTCCACTCTAGAGTTTTCCTGCTCAATTTCATTTTACTCGTTCATTACCTATACATCATGGTGATGTTTTTTGTTTTTGAAAAGCCCGGGTTACTGAATTAAATGAGTACTTTAATGAAATCGACTGGGAATCAAAACTCGCTGGTCGTGATATCAACGACGCTGGTCAAATTTTTTATAACTATGTTAATACTTTTGGTTTAACCTTTTTTTTGGTTTAAACCTTTTCTTAAAAACCGCACGGCAAAACCCGAAAGTTTCTAGTGTTAGTTCTAATTTTAGTTCAATTAACACCGGGTGTGAAAGCCTTGGTGCTTATATGTTAATACTGCTAGACGTGAATTTGTCCATTTAAAACGCAAAGCTATCAAGGGTTTTCTCACTTGGTTTTCATATAATACCATTAAAGTAATTCGAGAGAAAAGGAGGGTGTACTGTAAATGGAAGCGTTTTGGCAACCGACTTGACTACCTCACTTTTTCAATTCTAAGGAGCCGTGTAAAGTATCTAATCCATCACATGAGTATGTTAGAAAACCTGAAAGCAATACCCAATATGACCCAAAGGTGTTTTAGGCTTTTACTAAGTCTAAGAAGCGTGCGGATGTCATTCCTTCTACGATGTCATGCAATGGAACTGTTGTCAGCAACGGTATCGGAGTATGCTCATTGTTCGCTGATTTCTTTTCTTCGGCTTTTTTGATCTTGCTCCAATCCAGCAGAATGTGAATTTTGTTGAAATAGATGCCCTTCGTTTGAGTCAGATGCAGTTTGACAGAATTGAGGTTGAAGAGGCCCTGATGGGCGTCAGGGTTACAGACAGTATTAGTACTGATGGTATTCCATCAATCCATTCTTCCTTTAACTAGTTTATTTAATGCTTCATTAATAAGGGGTGGGTGTCTTTCCTTCATTGTGGAAGCGGGCTTTTGTTCTTCCCATTTTTAAATCTGGGGACCGTGGTGTTATGTCTGATTACCGGCCCCATATCTATTTTGCCAGCATTTGGGAAAGTGTTTGAGAAAGTAGTTCATGCACGTCTATTCTTTGCCCTTAAGTCCAAAATCAATTGTAGACAACACTTTTTTTGCTGGTCACTTGATTGAGAGTAACTTGCTTGAATATATCCAGTATATCTTATCTTCTTTGGACGATTCTTGTCAAGTTGATTCAGTTTATACGCATTTTAGTAAAGCTTTCGACCGGGTGGATCACAACTTACTTCTGTTTATACTCGTGAAGTTTGGTGTTCAGGAGAAACTTTTGCAATGGCTTGCTTCCTATCTGAAAGAGATATGCCAGCTCGGTTAATGGTTTTTTTTAATCCTGTGTCGGTTCCTTCTGGTGTTCCACAGGGTAACCATCTGGGCCCTTTACTGTTTAATATATATGTTAACGACACATTTGACATCGTTAATTATTTAATATCTTGAGGAGTTTAGTCTGATTAACAAGTTCCAGTCTGGTTTTCGTGAACGGCATGGTACTACTACAGTACTGATTAAGATCACCGATGATATTAGATCTGCTTGTGATAAGCGTTGTGTTACCTTGCTAGTGTTACCTGATTTTAGTAAGGCCTTTGATTCTATGGACCATGCCCTCCTGTTAACTAGGCTTTTTGCTATTGGTTTTACCTCTTCTTGTGTATCTTGGTTCTAGTCCTACCTTTCCTATCGGTCTTTACGGGTCTGCGTGGAATCTGTACTCTCTTCTCCTGTTGACATCAAATGTGGAGTTCCTCAGGACAGTGTGCTGGGTCTTTTGCTCTTCTCAATTTTCCTAAATAGTATTAGTGATGGTATCTCGTGTAACTATCATTTGTGTGCAGATGACCTTCAACTTTATATTTCGTCATCTGTTAACAACCTCCCAGATGCGTTGTTGCATCTTAACAACGATCTCTCTAGCGTGCTTGACTGGTCTAGACGTCATGGAGTTAACCTGAATCGAGGTAAAACGCAAGCCATTGCATTTGGCACTCGCTCCTTGTTGGCACAATTTAATTCCTTAACTACCCTTCACTTGATACTACCCTTCTAATACGGTAAAAAATCTTGATGTGGTAATGGATTCGCTGATGTCTTGACGGTCACAAGTTCAGGGAGTCTGTAAGAGGGTTTACTTCTGTTCCCCACACATTGATTATGCCGATGCTGCGTATCCCAACCTGTCCGCAGCCCTTCGGGGTAAACTGGAAAGATTTCAGAACAATTGTATACGGTAAATTTCAGCACATTACTCCATATCGTAGCAACATGCAGATGATGACTTGCCAGAGTCGTACATCATTTCGTATGCTTACTATGTTGTACAAAACTGTCCATACCCACACTCCTGCTTATTTGTTTGATGCCTTTCACCATTTAGCATCACATGACTTGCCCATTCGATCGATGTCGGACTCTACACTCATGTTTCCAGTCCATAGTACTGAAATCTACCACAGAACTTTTACAGTGCAGTCGATTGCGTTCTGGAACGACTTGCCTGCCGTTGTTCGCAATGCAGCTAGTTTAATAAGTTTTAAAAATGTCTTGAGGCGCCATCTGCTATCTCTTCAACTATCTTCTTTTTGATCTATACATGTTTGTTTTCTTCTCTAGTCTGCCTATCATCTATCTTTTACTGCACTTTTTTTGCGTCTGTTTTCTTCCCTGTACTAACTGACTGTCGATCCGTTACATAACTCAAAAATACTCATTCGCTTAGTCTTATTAGCATTTATCATCATTTAGTATTACTTTTTTGGTAGCCATAATTATTTATTTAAAATTACATATACACTGTTACCAGTTGGGTCTCTTGGAAGATATCGCTTATTGCGATAAATTGATCCGTTTGCCTTGATGTCTATATTTGTTATGAATGTATATATTGATGTAAATTTTTTTTTTGGCTCTGAATTAGCAGTATACCCCTGAGCTTTAGTTTCGCTATGGTTTTTGTCATATTTTCTGATTCTTAAATTTGTTAATTACAGTTTTGTGTTATTGTTGGTTGTCTTCACGCGCATTTTAAGTTTTGTAACTTAACCTTTATTATAAGTACTGGTAATTTTTCAAGATCTAACTTCTTATTCACAAAAGAAGAGGTTTTTGACGTTTCCATTATTTACTCCACTAGTAATCTAAATGATAGTACCTTAGATAGTAGAAACCTTATAAATAGTACAATTATTGTTGGAATCGTTCACAAGAAATTCTGATAATGATTTATTATACCTTGAAAACTCAAGTTTGAATGTCAACATCACGTAGCGTTTAACATATTACTAGTGCACTAAATTACTTAATTTTTACTTAAGCTAAAGTTCATAATTGCTCATAAATGTTGTATAGGATTTGTAGCTTTTTTTTGCGTTAAATGGCAACCATTTTTTACTTTTCAAGGTACAATATTTAGACTCGATATCTTGTTGAAATATAAAGTTAATTCTTATTTCTGATTATTCAACACTGAAGCTTATATTCCACAAGCTATATAATAATATTCGTTGCATTGAGTAATAATCAATAATATTAATTAAATTGTTTATTCATTTGATTAATTTATATAATGTTGACATTGAATTTTGTTATTTCCCATCATTTCTATATAATTAAATCTTATGATGAAAGAATTCTTCACCTTTTCAATGAAATCCTCTACAGCTATCTAAGTTGTTTAATCAATTTTCTTATTAATTCAAATTTTCTTGAGATTGCATGCAGAATATTTTGCCAATTCATGATGTGTGGAGATTGTAACGATTTAAATCACTTATATCACAGAGATTTTTCATTTCCATCGTATAATAACGTTTTTCAAATTAAAATTTACAATGAAAAGGGAACGTTCGCTTGAAAAACAACCGGCGTGATTTAAATACGCGGAATTTATTGTGTGCAACAGGAGGCGTATTAATCCAAAGTTCAAGGTGGTCGAAGACTCGAAGCATCTCGAAGAGTTTTACATGAACAGGTACTAGAAAATGGGATAGTCTTTGTTGAATTTTTTTGTGATAAAAAATAAGTAATGTTGAAAAGATTTCGAATTTATTTTCTAATACTTAATTATTCTTGTAAAATGATGAGTCAAAGAGAAAGTTATTTTGTAATTTACGTTTAATGAAAATTTCTTAAAAAGAATTTAATTCTTTCGAGTTATTCAAGTGAGGTGGTTATAAGAGAATTGAAATTTTCAACACCGTGAGACATTTTTTCTTAAACTGAATAGTATCAAAACCAGTGTGCCGAAGAAAATCCATTCCAATACTCTACCGTCTCTCTTCGAATAAGAAGCAGCAGAGAGCACCTCAACGATTTTTTGGTAGAGTTGGTGAAGATCGTTTCTTCGGGTACCTTCGGCCGATTCGTTTTCAAATGAACATTGGGTCACCTGCCATAGAGACCCACGTCGTTTCTTTCGTACTACGTACGACTTACCAGCCGATGTAGGACGACTATAAAAGCCGACTGCCACATCCAAGAAAGCCTGTCAAGTGCGAAGCTGTGCCGTTGTTAAGTTCTTTGTGATGGCGCGCTTTTACAGTGCGCTATTTTTAATTTCACTGGCCGCCATTACCGGTAAGTTACTAAAAGAAATATATTAACCTTTTTTAATCAATCGGAAATGTAATAACAATTTTTTTTAAAATGGATTAAACATTTTTGGTTATTTAACGTTTTCGTATTGGATATCGTGCAACATATGTTTAAAATTGAAAGTTACCATTCACTTTTATATCAACGTTAGTTTTACTCGAGAGAAATTTAGATTTGTTTATTAGATTTTTCTTGTGGTTAATAATTAGTTTTAAAATTAATTTGTCGGTTTTAATTTAAGGCGATATCAATAAGCAGTTAAGAAAGAAACTTTCTTTTTAATATTGTTTACTTTTGTTTTAAATTAAAAGATTGAATTCGAAGCTTTTTGTGGTTAATTTAATTTATGCTTAATTTAACGATAAAAATAATAATAAATTCTTGTTTTCAATAAAAATTTATGTCTTCTAAAGAACTTGTCAAATGTCTGATAATCGCACGTGACCACATAGCCACAAGTGAAAATTGCAAGGTAAACCACTTTCACGAGCATACCTACGCGCCTATAACACTTGGAGTGACCAATTTCTAGATATTCTTACCTTGTAGCTATTATGTGAATAATTTTCAATACTAATTGAAATTGATACTTGAATCAGAATCGGATTAAATGTATCAAGGAAATTTAATTACATAATTATGTATGAATAAAAACTTTTTTAAGGCGCCCAGGAAGAAACGGCAGCAAAAAAAGAGGATAGTTTTGAAACGGAACTTTGTAAAGATAAAGATGCGGGAGAATGGTTTAGATTAGTAGCGGGTGAAGGAGATAATTGCAGAGATGTTATCCAATGTACATCCTCAGTAAGTTTATTCCATCAAAAAAAAAATAATGAAACTTAAATTTTCAACTCATCTCATCTTCAGGGTCTTCAAGCAATTCGTTGCCCAGCCGGTCTTTACTTTGATATTGAAAAACAAACTTGTGATTGGAAAGATTCCGTAAAAAATTGCAAGTTGAAAAATAAAGAGCGAAAAGTAAAGCCTTTACTTTTCACCGATGAACCTCTTTGTCAAGATGGCCAATTAGCTTGTGGAGATGGTAGCTGTATAGATAGGGGTCTATTTTGTAACGGAGAAAAGGATTGTGCCGATGGTTCAGATGAAAACACTTGTGGTAAGTGTTAAAAAAATGTTACATTATATAAAAGAGATTCAACGTGCACGGTTAAATTCTGGCGTTCGCGGAATGTGACCTTGCGGAGCCCTAAAACCTTCTGCTGGTTTTTCAAGTCTCGACCTCGGTTTCACTTTCCTCGTCTCGAATCGGGGAAAGCAACTCTCACTTCTCTCAATATAACCTCTCTGTCGAGAAGTTGTTACATAACGAGATTTCAATTCGAAAAGATTTTTATCAACAATTTTTTTTCTGTTTTTGTAATTATTTAGATATTGATAATGACCCGAATAGAGCGCCACCTTGTGATCCAGCCGTTTGTGTACTACCGGATTGTTTCTGTTCCGAAGATGGAACCCAAGTTCCCGGGGATTTACCCGCTAAAGAAGTTCCTCAAATGATTACGATTACTTTCGACGATGCTATCAACAACAATAACATTGAGTTGTACAAAGAAATTTTTAATGGAAATCGCAAAAACCCGAACGGTTGTGATATCAAATCGACCTTCTTCGTTTCTCATAAATACACTAATTATTCCGCGGTTCAAGAAATGCATAGAAAAGGACACGAAATTGCTGTCCATTCGATTACGTAAGTGATAAAAATTGATTATCTTTAGTTATTTTATAAATTAAAGGATAATTAGAGTTAATTATTATTTCAAAAGTGAAATTTTAATGACCTTAATTATTTTCTTAAAAATGTACAATTTAAAAACAAGGTTAAAACAAATTTTATTTATCAAGGCTATAACTGAAAGCATTACGAATCTAAAATTAACAAGAAAAGGGAATAAATTAATTTAAAAAAATCATAACCATCATTTCCTAAATCAAAAGTTCATTAATTACATAATCAATGAAGATTTCTTTTGATTTGAATCAACAAACTTTTTAATACCTTTTAAACATTTTCAACGCTAACAAGGAAGTCGTTAAATCACGTTACGTATTAGAATGCTGCAATCTTAAATAATTTCCTTGAAGTAACCACAAGTAAACATTAATGAAGGTTAAAATACCAAATAAGCTTAATTAATTTATTTTATCTTTGTATCTATTCTTTATAACTATTCTTTTATAGTCATAACGATGAGGAGCGTTTTTGGAGTAATGCAACCGTTGATGATTGGGCGAAAGAAATGGCTGGAATGAGAATAATAACCGAGAAATTCGCGAATTTAACCGATAACAGCGTTGTAGGAGTAAGAGCTCCTTATTTAAGAGTTGGTGGAAATAATCAATTTACGATGATGGAAGAACAAGCTTTCTTATATGATTCAACAATTACCGCACCATTAAGTAACCCACCATTATGGCCTTACACCATGTATTTCAGAATGCCGCATAGATGTCACGGTAATCTTCAAAGTTGCCCAACAAGAAGTCACGCAGTTTGGGAGATGATTTTAAATGAATTAGATCGAAGAGAAGATCCAACCAACGATGAATATCTCCCCGGTTGTGCTATGGTTGATTCTTGCTCAAACATTTTAACCGGAGATCAATTTTATAACTTCTTGAATCACAATTTCGATAGGCATTACGAAGAAAATCGCGCCCCTCTTGGATTATATTTCCATGCGGCTTGGTTAAAAAATAATCCCGAATTTTTGGACGCTTTCCTTTATTGGATTGACGAAATTTTAAGCAATCACAACGACGTTTATTTTGTAACGATGACCCAAGTAATTCAATGGATTCAAAATCCAAGGACAATTTCTGAAGCGAAAAATTTCGAACCATGGAGGGAAAAGTGCGTCGTCGATGGTATTCCTGCTTGTTGGGTACCACATTCTTGTAAATTGACATCGAAAGAAGTGCCCGGGGAAACCATTAATTTGCAAACGTGCGTGAGGTGCCCCAATAACTATCCGTGGGTAAATGATCCTACCGGAGATGGTTTCTTCTAAGTCATGTACAAGTGTAAATAAGTGAATTATATCGGACTGCGATTAAATTTTTTTTTTATTACCTTTTATACGAAAAGGTCTTATCTTTTCACTCAATTAATTAAAAGCGCTGTTGAGTAGACGAAAAATCAACTACCAACTATGTCTTAATGTATTTATTATCAATATCATCGACTGTGTGCGTGATTTTAATTGTTAATTTTTGTGTAATAAACGTTCTTTTTTAAAAAAAAGACCATCAACCAGACTGTTTTATAAAAAAAATCCTTTAAAAAAAATTTATGCCTCAAAATAGAAAGTTACTATGTAGTTATTTGATTTTTTGAAATTAGTACTTTATCTTTTAGGTTGTGCAGATATAATAGTAAGTAGAAAAACACTCTTTTTTTGTAAGAAAACCCCTACGATATTAAATATTAAATAAAGAAATATATTTAATACAAAACTTTTAGCGTTTTATTTAAATCTTTTTCACAATTACGAAACTGAAGACGTCTCCGATCTTTTTTTTAACTTAAAACGGGTATGTAAGCAACTTTCTCCGTTTACTTTCACTTTTTGACGATTTTTCTACTTTCATTTTTTCGATTAGCCCAAAAATTCATCTAAATCAAATTTAATGTTAGCCAAAAAATTTTGTTAGACATAAAATTTAAACAAAAATAAATTTATTTTAAAACAAAATTAATATATAAATAAATAAAATCAAAAATTAATTTCGATCAATCTCTATTTTATTTCTTCAATCAACTTCTCGCATTATAAATAACGGAGCCGTGAAATCCGGTTCGGTAAAGCTTTCTACTTCATTTTAATATCTGCATTTAAGATCTTGGAACCGTCCGGTGGCTATTTGGATTGTAACGCAACAATCGACTTAAATTTATTAACGCTAACAAAGAAATAGCTTGATGAGTCTTTATTTGAAAAGTGAAAGTTATGATTTATATAAAAATAGATTTAAGAATTATAAGAAATAAAATAATTATAAGGAGTGTTTTGTAAGATTAAATACGAAGGTAAATCCAGTAGCAGAACTAATCACATCTTAATATATATCAATGTTTCATTGAAGCCGTCAACGTTTTGCCTTGGGTTTGTTAATACCTTGATCTATTAATTATTAATACTTAGAAACTTCGAGATAAGATTTGGATTAATTAAAAAAAAAAGATTCTTTTAGTAATTTTAATTGATTAAAATTCTAGAAACGTACTGGTTAGAAACTGAAAAAGGTAAGGTAAGTGTTCAACGGAAAGAGTTTTAAAAATAACGGCCCATTGCTATGCCATTTAAGTACAAAGAAAGAACCAGAAGGAAACGATATCCTTCTGGAATAAACTCGATTGAATTAAAATTTATAATTCACCGTTCTTTTATTTTCTATGTCTTATTGACTTTAGAAGAATTTAAAAATGTGTATATATGGAAAAATGAGATTTTAAAAAGCTGATAATGATTTAATGATTATAAAGAGGAAGTTTATTGGATACTCGCTAATGGTGAAGTATCTAATAAAACAAGCGGTTAACATTTCTGTTTAAATGTCAGCAAGTGCTATTCGCACATTCGGATTCATCTTCGCAAACAGTTTCTTAACTCAGGCATAGTTTGCACAACTTCTCACCCAACTGACTCACCTAAACAGATTTGAATACAACGGATTACGGCGACGAGTGGAATTTAAAATATCTCTGCTTAATTATCTAGAAAAGTAAATGGGTGTTTCTTAAACAAAAATTAAAAATCGTAAAGATCAATTTATGGAAAATAATATCTACACACAAATCATAAAACTATATACACATTTCCATATATACATTATGCAAAAAAAAAAGATAGAATCCGAATTATTTTTGAAAGTAGCAGCGATTTTCTGATTGTAAACTTGAGGTTACAAGTGACGCGATGATGAATGAGTGTTTTCGTCATGTTCAATGTTATTGCTAGAAGATTTATGAAATGCAATTAAAATATTTACTAATCATTTAATTTTTTTTAAATTTGGACTTTGTGAGTTTCAAAGAAAATTTTTCCTAAAAACTGTTGAAGCTTTTTGAAGCACACTTATTCCAGGTGCTTCCTACGAGGTAAAAGCGAACCTCATTATAGTTGCAGTTAGTTTTTGATCAGTTGAAGGAGTACGAAATCCTCATATACCTTGTCTAGAGCATCTTCGGGAAATGACAAGAAAAATTTATGGAATTCCACGTTTCCAGCGAAGGAGTAATCTTTAAAATCTTTACCCGAAAAACTAAGCCATCACGCGACCTCTACTTGATTGGATGTACACAAGCTGCATCCACAAGTTTGCTTGCGGCAGAGGATGTGGTAGCAATTTAATCGAAATTATGCAATCTTCGTTCTAAATTACGCTGAGACCGCTTAAAGTTCGCCATACTATCCAGCTGCTGCCTAACATCTAAATCTTCATCATTAAAAATCGTTGAAAACTTCTTCGTATTATTATATATACTAACAACTTTTAACTCGAACTCTCACACCGCCCTACTATACCTCGACCTAGAAAAAGCCTTCGATTGTGAAATACGGACGTTACTTGAAAGTGTTATGGCTCCAGATAAGTTGTTAGCATGACGTCACATCCCATGCGATTTTTTGCACAGCTAACATAAAACTTCGACATTCAGAGTTACTTTTCTGTTACAATTCGATCAATTTTTCGGAAATCACAAGTCCTATTAAGGCGTACCAAATGTTTGGTTCTATTCCGAATATCATTAACCTTTAGCGGGCCGGGATTTTAGGTAACATATTGCTTGAAGAAAATCGATACAAAATGTACTTCATATGATATATTTATCATATACAAAGTAGTGATAACATAGACCACCACTTAAGTGGTGGTCCCGGTCCTCTAAAGGTTAACAAATATAAGATACTAAGATAATATTTTTGCCGATTATTTGCCTCTTTTACTTGTATATTTAATATTTGGCATATAAATAATCTCTATTTATATCCCAATACATCTCAGCCGTGGTTGCTTGAGGATTAGATGCTGTAAAAGATACCAAATTATGGTCTTTCCTTTGACTGTAACTTGCTAATTTGAACAGGGAGTTGTAAAGCACGAGTGAGATGTGTTAGGCAGAAGATGGGGCTAACTTGATTCGAAGATATGTCAGGAAGTGTAAATACTAATAGCTTCTGGACATTTATAAGGCAAATTCTTCTTGTATAGAAATAAGTTGGCCATGCAAGAACTGACTGAATACGTTTTATGCATAGTGAAAGTAAAATATATGAACGTTTTGACATGCATCTTCTTCTTCAGTTCATCTATGTACTGTAGAAGTACATAGATGAATATATAGATCTTTATTTTTCGAAGAAAACGAACATATACTTACTGTGAATTCTGACCGATGAACTTTATTCTGTCCTGAATCTGAAACCCTCCAATAAACGAGGTTGGAGACGATTTTAAGAACATAGAGCCATGGTTCATACAAATTGTGGTTGTTTGCGGGAAACTCCGCTTAGTCGATCGAGTAAATGCGTTTTAAACTCATGCATTTCTATATCGCAATAAAATGACACTAATTTAAGTAGGAACAAAGATTGGACGTATAAATCAAGTGAGAATGAACAATTATTAGTTCACGTATTAAAACCGATTACAAAAGTAATAATTTTGCAAAGAAAGTTTTTGTAAAGTCCAATAAGGTAAGTGCAGTGACACATCCGTCATCTACTGTCCTTAGTGATTAATGACATTCAGAAGTCTTGTAAAGCAGTTGCAACCAAGACGAAACCCTGCTATTTAGTTGCGAGAATGATATGTTTGGTGTTAAATGACCTCTATCTTTCACCATATCCATCATATCTGATGGAGTTATATATTTTTTTTGGATAGGCAAAAAAAAAGGCATTATCAAAACAACCTTCATTGGTCGGGAAACACCTAGAGTTGTAGGACAAGACAGTACTACCAGACAGTACTAATTTTATTACTTACCAAACGATTCAGCTGTAATGTAGTAACTCTTAATTTCTCTGGTTTAATGAAAAGTTAAAACTTAAAGACGTAGTGATGATTACTATAAAAATCCATAAATCAGTATCACCCGAGGAATATTGGTTTTGCCACCTATGGACATTTTTTGTGACTTATTATGCCATAAATTTCTTCGTATATTCTAGTATAGGAGATATGATAATATTATACTTACTAGAAATTTACAATTTTATCGTGAATAATTAATTTACATTTAATAACAATACATATTATAAATGTAATTATAATGATTAATAATTATATTCTATAACAATTAAGTAATTAGTTAATGATTATTACAAACAAATCGATTATAATTTTTACATGCCATTAAATACTTTCTGTCTGTTGCCCTTCGGCAATTCCAACATCTACCTCATTTTGAGCAACGGTTTTCTTGAAGATACTTTTGTGACATGGACGCTTTTTCTCAACGATTTTCAGTGCTAATCACTTCTTTTGCTAGTTGATTGAAATTCTCTTCTTTTGTGACCGTTTTTAGTGTTCAAGTATTCATTAAGATGCATACGTGTAATATAACTGCACTAATAGAACATAAGCGTTGACTGCATTAATTTCATATTATAAAAACTGCCAGCGGCCATCCCTTTGATTGCTTTTTGGTGTATATGTTTGGAGAACCTGATCGATATTGACTTATTGTTATCAATAACTATTTGGGGCTTCTTCGTTTCATCTACAAAAAATTCACCCTTATTATGTATTCATAATAATGTTCCCTTATTTAGGACAATAGGAAGCCAACACTGCTTTTTCTTGTTTTGGAATGGCACTAAGCAGTGTGAGATTTATTTTTCTATTTTGCTGATGTATTTAGGCCATTATATTTTCACGACGTTATATTTTCACAACCTCCCCAAATCTTTATCCCATACTTTCCGAGTTTATAATGAATACACCATTTCGGGCACTTTCTACACAATGTGAGCAACTGTTCGTTGAGAGTTACATTTTCATGGGGAAATTAATTAAATAATAATTTCTCATCTAAAAGTAAAGATTGGG